GCTTAGCTTGTCATCAGGATAGGCACTGTCCCCAAAGGCATCAGGGCCCTGGTGATATAGACTCCCAGTGGTTGCCCATGTCCTGTCCTGCTCAGCCTTTTCCTGGTTAGTTAATTGAAGCAGGTTTCTGCCCCTTGAGACTCAGTTTCCTTCTCTGAATACTGATGACCATAGACGTTCCTGTCTCATAGGGCATGGTAAAGAGGAAATGTGTAGAAGATGTGTCCTACATATTTGGCACATGTTAGGGAGAGAAGGGTGAGTTTCCTTGCTGAACCATGAGAGAGAAACAAGAAGAGCCACTGTTCCTGTTTCCATGACTGAGAAAACAAAGAAGACAGCTTTGGTATGAATATAAAATCAGTAACAGCCAGCAGGGTACAAATTAAAACCTCAGGCTGTGTGTGTGTGGTGCAGTGGTAGACACCTGCCTCCAGTATGTGGGTTCCATCCCTGACACAAACACAGAACCACAAAATGCCCTAGGCTCTGGCCCTCAAAGGGAGACTCCAGCTGGAGGCCTTTGATGATTAATTTTGTGGCAGCTTAGCTAAGCCATGGCTTCCCTATCTATATGTCGCTGGGAAAGTGTTATTTAGATGTGGTTAACATTTACATCAATGGCCTTAATAAAAGAGATTACTCTCCTTAATGTGGAGTTTTTGTCTTATGCAAACAAGGGAGGAGAGAGTTCTTCCAGGCTGCCTTTGAACTTGAGGTTTGACGGCACCATAGATTCTGCCCCATAATTACATGAGCCAATGAGCTCACCCCATCTCCTACACTCCCCCTCTTCATCTTTCTCTCCCTCCCTCATGAGTGTGTGTAGGAATGCAGGTAACACACAGTCACACAGACACACAGACACACAGACACACACACACACACACACACACACACACACACACACACTATACTTCCAGGGCTGGAGGGTTGGCTTCATGTTAAGAACACTTTCTGCTCTTGCAGAAGACCTGGGTTCAGTTCCGAGCACCCACATGGTGGTTTACAACCATCTGTAACTCCAGTTCCAGGAAACACAGCTCCCTCTCTGACCTCCATAGGCACTGGATGCTTTTTGCGTACAACATACATACCACCAAAATACTTATACACATCAACTTTAAAAATAAATCAACCTTAACAATTAACTATGTGGGTCATATTTGTTTCCTCTTACCTCTGTTTCTCCGGAGAACCCTAATGCAAGGGCTGTGGGCAACTCCTAGCATCATGAGTTCTTTCTTTCTCTCTCTCTCTCTCTCTCTCTCTCTCTCTCTCTCTCTCTCTCTCTCTCTCTCTCTCTCTCTCGTGTGTGTGTGTGTGTGTGTGTGTGTGTGTGTGTGTGTGTATGCTCTCACATGCAGTGAGAGGAGTTACAGCCCTCAATTTGGTCTAAAAGCAAAGCTCTAGAGAAAAGAAATGTGGGAATTTCACCATGACTCAGTGGTGAGGGCCTTGAGCCTTGGCTTAGCAGGCCCGAGTTGGCAAGTATGCTCTGTCCTCTCTGAGACCTAAAGGCACCGAAACATCTGTGTTTCCGTTAAGAATACGCTGACGAGACACATAGCTATGGCTTAGGAGAAAGGAGCATGGCCCCTCCCAGTCTAAGGGGTCATCTGTGGCCGCCTGAGAGTCCAAGGCTCTATCAGCAAGGTAACTGTTGTGACCACACTAATACACTCAGCACTGTGAAGAAGACCCCTCAGCTGGGTACAGAAAAGCCTCAAGGACCATCCATAGCTCTCACCCTGCCTGTGGGAATCTTGATAGTGGACACTGGCTCTTGACTTTGTTTATAAATTGAGCCCAAAGCAAAGAGCTCTGAATGGGATGGGAAGGGCCAGGCCTCCTAAATTCTGGGATGGGGCCAGGTAAACTTGGGGTCATGCCCCCCCATCAACTGGTGGGTCTTGGTATGAAGACCCTGCAGACTCATCTCTCCTGGTTGATTCTCAAAGAAAGAGGAACATGGCAAGTTCTGAGAGACTTTGAGCAAACACTGAGAGAACAACTATGAAAGGGTGAACAAGGACTTCCCTGAGGAGGGCAGGGGAGATGGAATGTGTGTGTGTGTGTGTGTGTGTGTGTGTGTGTGTGTGTGTTTATACTTGCTCCTAAAAGCCAGAAGAGGACATCAGGTGCCCTGCTCCATTACTCTATACCATCATCCCTTGAGACAGACTCTTTCAGTGAACCTGGAACAGGGTTGGGGCCCACTCCAGTGACCCCTCTGTAGTCCACTTCCACAGCCCTGGAGTTAGTCATGCATGCACCATGCCCAGACTTTTACCTAAATGCCAGGCAAGCATTCTTATCTACAGAACCATCCCTCAAGGCTCCAAATAGAATATTTTCATCACTCTCTAGACCCTCCTGGATCCTCTGCCCAGCTCTCAGCACTGACATCAAGTTTTAGAACCATCTATGCTTGGGAAGAGCTGATGGTGTGACCCTGCTCCTCACTGAAGGCTTTAAATCTGTCAGCTCTGAGCCTGGGTTGAGTTAGGAGAAGTGCTGTCCCTTTCAATAGTAGTGAAACAACAATGAGAAACCCTAAGTCTGGCATTGTGGCACACACCTTTAATCCCAGTAATCAAGAGGCAGAGTTCGGGATCTTTGTAATTGCATGGCCAGCCTTGTCTACAGACTGAGTTCCGTGACAGCCAGGGCTGTTAAACTCTGATCTTTTTATTCCCTTGGAAATGGAAGAATTTCCCTGACCATCTTGGTTTTACCTTAAATGTTATTAAAAAGTTAAGAGACAATTTTTCCACAGGTTCTTGTCAGTGGCACTGGGTGTGGAGCCTTTTTTTTTTTTTTCCTGTGTTTTGATTTTCACTTTTGTTTTTGTGGTCATTGAACAAATGACCTTGAGCATGCTAGGTTAGAGCTGTGCCACTGCCCTGTCCTTCCAGCCTGACAGCCAAGGGACAGATGCTCACATCAATGGAGGGCAATCTCTTCAAGAAAACGTTCAAAAACAGAAAAAAAGAGGTGTGGAGGGTCCTGTGAAATTGAGGGCCCAGACTCAGTGGGTCCCTTTGTCCTTCCTGGAGTGCACAGCCTGCTGTGTCCTGACTGGGGTTGTTGGCCTTGCCTAGTGACAGCCTTGTTGAAATTTCCCTCCAGAATGGGAGGTCTATTGCAGAAGGTTGTGGGAAGCGTAGGGTCACCTTGCATAGGCTGAGTCTGGGATCTTCTAATGAGAAGGACTGGTCTCCAGCAGGTGACCTCAGCAAATACTGTTTGAGAAACAGGAAATGGTTTGTTCCTAAGCCTCAGGAGCTTGTGCTCTGAGCTGGTGATGGTGGTCGGTGAGAGAGCACGGTGGACAGAGGAATGGGGAAAAGGAGCCCCCCCTCCAGACTAAAAATGTCCGCAGAGCAATGGAAGTGAAGTTGAGACCCAGAGGTAGACATGCTGTGCCCACCAATGTGAAAGATGCACTATATCCAACACAAGAAGGAACGGGTAGAGCCCTGTGGTGACCTAGCCTGACAGATGATACTGTGGATGTGCGTCTTTGGTCCCATTCAGAAAGTAACGCAGAGTAGGAAGTTAACACTGGTGTCTCTTTGCTTGGGTTACTTCTGTGTTTCAGTTTGTTTTTCAAGGTGGATGCTTTCCCTGAACAAGTGACGATGATGAATACTGTCTCAGTTTGAAAACTGGGACCATTTGGAACCTTTATCTTCCTCCATGACCCACTTGTCCCCCACACTCATGCCTCTGATCTCTTGTCCTGGCTGAGCAGAGCCCCATCACCCCATTCTCAGGTGGGCATGGTCTAACATTTTGGGATCAGAGACTTGCCTGGTTAGTGGCAGCTGCAGTAAGGAGCATCAGACACCCTGTGCAAGGCACTCATTCCCTCAGCCCCTGCCTCTCATCTGGTGGGACAGCTTGCCAAGAACACCTGAGATCTTCTTTGCATTACCCGAGACAGGTCAGACAGGGGTGGGTCAGAGAGAGCCTTCCCGCCTTCCACATTGAGTCATCACCAACCTTCCAGCTGGCTCCCTCTTCACCTGTGTCAGCACTGCTAGGTCTCAGCTCAGTGACAGTTGGCGGGATAAAGCATCTGGTGGCAGTTGTTCTTAAGAGGCAGCTCTGAGCCTAGAAAAATGTGCCTGCCCAGTGGCCACAGGACAACAGGCCCTTTGCCCCCTCACATGTACACTCTCCCCCTGGAGCCCCACTCCAGGTTCCCATGGATTTGCCCTTCCCAGCAAAGCCTTTGGCATTGAGAACTCTTTGCTTCAGCACTGAGCCCTTGTACATCCCTGGGACCAGATATATATAAAATTACCTGACATCTGTGTGAGGAGAGGTTCCTCCCCATGCTACTACTTTCTGTCCCCATTGTCAAATCTCCAACTTGCACAAGAGTTAAAAGTTCACTCTAGGGCTGTTAATTCACAAAAAAGACCCCACCACAAAGGGCTGTGTGAGAACAAATGGTCCTTGGGGGAAGGTTGGAAATCACAGGGTCCAGACTCTACCACTCCCAGGTTACATGATTTGGGTCAAATCACTTGACTTTCAGCCTCTTTGTGACATGGAACTAACATAAGCCTAATAATAATCACAAGTAGAGGCTGCTTCTCCACACATGGACACCAGCCAGCTGTGAAGCGGCCTCTGAGGAAGAGAAGCACGTCTTATAGGCAGAAGTGCATCCCACATGGAATTAACACAAGCCACAAAGACATCCATTTCCTTTTACCACAGGAGATAGGTGTGGAAGCTCAGGTCTGGGCGAGTTGGCCATGCAGTGCCAGGCAGGTAAGAACCGGTCATCGCTCAGGACTTGTGCTCAGGACTTGTGTGGAAGGATGGCCAACAGTGGGGGTGGGGTGAGGTGGAAAAACAACTTCTCTTTCTGGCAGTTACCTTTCCATCTATGCTTCATCAGGCCTAGGTTACGGTGGAGGCCAAGGAGTTCCAGGGGCAATGGGGAACTCAATTTTGTCAAAAGCATCCATTGAATCTAGCCCATGAGTCATGTGTTTGGTGAAAACTCCAAGGTGCTGCGGTCTGGCAGTCTCTCAGGGAGAGTGGCCCGTTGTGGCCACAGCGGCTCCACTGAGAGGCTGGACACTGCCCAGGCTGTGGAGGCCACATACCTCAGCTGCCCAGCTGCCCCTCAGCTTGCACACATTTCTTTTAATTATAAAACTTATAAATGGGGCTCGGGAGATGGATGAAGAGCTCATAGTGCAAACATGAGACCTTGCGTTCAGATCCGCAGCAGCCATGGCAGAGGCTGGTGAGCCTGTAATCTCAAAACTGGATAGGCAGAGGCAGACGAATCCCTGAAGCTTGCTGGCCAGCTGGTCTTCTGAAACCAGTGAGCTCTCGGGTCAGTGAGTTAGCAATTGAGGATGGCATAAACATCAACCTCTGGCTTCTACGTATGTCCACTTGCACACACGTGACCACGCATATGAACACATGCACACTATAATACACACAAACTGATACTCCGTGAAAAAGCCCAAAATAAACTATGTTTCATATCCCTAAAGATGCATCATCATAGCAAGTAATACAAGCCAGGTCAGACACATTATGCATCGTGACACACAGTTCCCAAACTAATGAGAATGACCTTAGCCCAGAATCAATTGCTCAAGGCAAAGGTCCTTTCTCCTTCCTGGATAATCCCTTTCTTGCCACAGCTCTTTTCTTTTTTGAGGGTGTGTGTGTTTGGTGGGGGGGGGCTAAGGGGTGGTGTGGGGGGGAACCAGCAGTATGGTTTCAGAATCCAGAAAAGGACATCAGATCCCCTGTCGCTTACACGAAGTTGCAAGCTGCTCCAGTGTGTGTTGGAAACTAAACTTGGGTTCTCTACAAGAGCAGGAAGCACTCTTAACCACTGAGCCATCTCTCCGGCCCCAATGTCCCGACTCTCAAATGTAACAGAAACTGCAAGGAAACACATCCAGTATGATGTTTCAGTTGCTTTAAGTCAGATAGTCTTTGTCAACGTTAAGTACAATACCATTTCCCTTTAAAAAAAACAAAAAACAAAAAACAACTATTAAAAAACCATCAAAAGTGGACATATATCGAACACTTCTTTATTCCAGTTTTTTTCCTTATTTTTCTTGTTACATTTTTAAAAGCTTAGGAACCACCAGGCCTCCCTGACTATTCTGTATGTTCCACTGTTCTCTTGGTTTTCCAAGTGTCCAACGGAGAAAGAAAGGAGAATTTCACCCAGCCAGGAATTCAGTCTTAATTTAGAGTGAGAAGGAATTTGTGTGTCTTTTGGAGGGACAGGCCAGTGATTATAAAGAACTTTGGGTTCAAATGGTTGCTTAAGCACCTAGTCATTTAGTCACCAATTCTGCCCTTGTTTTTGTTGTGTCAAGGGGTGAAGTATTGCTATGTATGATACGTGTGCTTGGGTTGTTACCCAGCAACTTAACCCAGCAGATGCTGTTGTTCAGGTAGAGCAGTGGTTCTCAACCTTCCCAATGCTGCGACCCTTCAATACAGTTCCTCATGTCGCAGTGACCACAAGCATAAAATTACTTTCGTTGCTACTTCATAACTGTAATTTTGCTGTTATGAATTGTACATATCTGATTTGCTGACAGTCTGAGGCAACCCCTGTGACAGGGTCATTCAACCCCCAAAGGGGTCACAACCCATAGGTTGAGAACAGATGAGGCAGAGTATTTGGCAGGCAGGGTGCCTTGGAGAGGCTGCTCTACCAAGGTATTTTACAAGGCACCGGGGTGTTTGAAGCTCATGGTTTAGACTTATGAAGCCCAGAGCACGATGAAGCCTGCTCCAACAGTCTCTTCTTTCCCTAGAGTTGTCTCAATAGACAGCAGCTCCTGACAACCATCCGCCAGTTGCAGCAGCTGCTGAAGGGCCAGGAGACCCGCTTTGCTGAAGGCATCCGAAACATGAAGAGCCGGCTGGCTGCGCTGCAAAACACCATTAGTAAAGTGGCCCCAGATACACCTCCAGGTGGGTCCCAAATCATCAGGCTAGGACCAAGAACTGCACTAAGAACCGTCATCCCCGCAACTAACTCCATCCAGTTTGCCCCTCGTGTATGTGTGTGTGTGTGTGTGTGTGTGTGTGTGTGTGTGCGTGCATGTCTGTGTCTGTTATCGTGTACACGTTAAGGTTACTCCTATCCCCTATATGTGACAGTCTCCTATTCCAGGGTTTTTTTTTATGATTTATTTATGTGTGCCTGTGAGTATGCACATGTGTGTGCATGTGCCCAAGGAACCCAGAAGAGGGCAGTGGATCCCTCCCTGGTTCTCTGCAAGAGCAGCAAGCCCTCTTAATGACCTCTGCAGCCCCCTTGTTTTGGTTTTATCTTATGTAGCTCAAGTTGACCTCAAACTTGTCGTGTAACCCAGGATAATCTTGAACTCCAGATCCTTCTGCCTCTGCCTTCCAAGTTCTGGGATTATGGTTTTCATTTCCAGGCCTGTGTTTCTGGTTTTTGTTTTTTGTTTTTTTAAAGACGGCATCTCAGTGTATAGTTCAGACTGACCTGGAACTCAAAATCCTCCCACCTCTGCCTCCCAAGAGCTGTGGTTTGACACCACGCCCAGACCATTTCCTCTTATACCCTTTATTCTAGGCTTAATAGCTACAGAAGTAGCAAGCTATAATCCCACAGAATTGTCATAAACATCACTCTGCAAGTATAGGTGCCTTTCACCTCCCTGGAGAGCACAGTGGACTCTAATTTTGTTTTTGTTCCTGTTTTTACTTTTAGTGTAACAGTCTGCTTCTCAAACTGGTTTTAAGTTCACAGCCTCGAAGGCCCAGAGACTTTGCACATTCGCCCTCCGCACAGATACACTGCTACCCTGACCTTCCCAGAATGCCGCACTTAGGGCACACGTTATTTTCCATGAACAAGCATGGCTCTGGCTTTTCATGCCTGAAAGTACATTCTCCAGTGACTCCACCCAATTGGGTGGGAAGAGGGGCTTCCAGAGTAAGTCCTACTTGTCTGGAGCACAATGGGACATTCCAATTTCCCTCCACTAATGGGAGAACTCTAACACTGGGTCATGTTTTCCTGGTGATATCTCTCAATCAACTCTTTCTAGGCCTAGAGGTGAGCACTGGCGTAGGGGCTCAGGGGATAGGAGATGGAGACTGTGAGATACCCAACACCATAGGTCCCCGGTGACTTCGTTTCCTTAGGGACTTCTTTCTTGTGTGAAGTAACATTTCCGGGGAAGGCTTTCATCAGAGGTTCAATAAATTACGTTTCTTTCAAGGCGCATTTATAGAATATACTCTGTGTGCCAAGCGCTTGGCTGGGGCTGGGGCTAGCAGAAAGAACACAGGCCAGATTGCACTCAGGCAGAGAACACTGACAGCAAGCATGAAAGACACACTGCAGTAGTCAAATGCTAAGAAGGCAAAGTGGATTGAGACACAGATGCATGGTAGCCAGAGATCCCTCTGGGAAGTGGTGACATTTGAATAGAGTCCTGAAGAGTGGGGAGGAGGAGCTGGCCTGGTGGTAGGCTGAGCCTGCTCAGGAGACCTGGGACATCCAGGTCTCAGACAAGAGACAAGAGAACCTGGCCGGAGTGTCTCAGGCCGGAGACAAGAGAAAGCAGAGTTAGTAAATGTTGGTCTCATCAATCTGATACTCGGCACTGCACTGTGAGGCTCTGTGCACACAACCCTTGGTGTCTCAGCCTCAGGTTCCTCAGCTTTCACTAGGTCAACTGTGTGCTCCCCCTCCTCCTCTCCAAAAACACTGGGAAGGTTTCATGAGATGTGGCATTTAGAAGGTCCAGGGCCAAGCCCGGCAGTCATTCAACAGAAAGAGAGGGAGGGGGGAGAGTGTAGAGAGGGGAGAGAGGAGAGGGGAGAGAAGGAGAGGGGAGAGAAAGAGAGAGAGAGAGAGAGAGAGAGAGAGAGAGAGAGAGAGGTCTTGTGAGTGACATCCACACCCCCATGTCTGCAGCCCAGGGGAGGGCTCCTAATCCCTTTTCTTTTCCTTATAGTTTCCTGCCCAGCTCTGGATGCCCCTCCTGATGGCAGGAAGTTCGGGAGCAAGTACTTAGTGGACCATGAAGTCCATTTTACCTGCAACCCTGGGTTCCGATTGGTTGGTCCCAGCAGTGTGGTATGTCTTGCCAACGGCACCTGGACTGGAGAAAAGCCCCACTGCAGAGGTATGGCCATTCTTCCCTGTCCACACCACATAGCATGGGTATGCTGGTCCAAAAGGGTCATCCCAGAGACACATCTAATTCTGATTCTCTCCCTTTTTTTCTTGTGTGTGTGTGTGTGTGTGTGTGTGAGGGGGGGGCGGGGGGGAGTGTGTGTGCAGGTGAATACATGCCACAGTGGTCAAGGATAACCCTAGGTATCAGTCCTTGCCCTCAGATTCTCTGGTTGTTTGCCGCTGTGTATGTCAGGATGGGGATGGCTGGTCAGCAAAATTGCAGGGATTACCCTACCAAAGTCTATAGGTAGATTCTGGAGATCCAAACTCATGTTTGTACACTTAAGTGGCAAACATTTCACCCACTCAGCCATCTCCCCTTCCCCATGGTTCTTCAATCATTCCTCAGCAGAGAAACAGGGGAACACATCTGCTTCCTTACCTCTACACCAGGTCTGAGCTCTTTCCATCACTGTGAGCTTGCTTAGTCCCCACAACCATCCAGTCTTGGTTTGCCTATAGAGAATCTGCGGTGTAGATTGGGTATGGAACATACAAAAGCCACTCTCTACTTCTCAATAGCTCACCCAGTTCTGGACTCTAGTGACTGAACATTGTTTGTTTGTTTGTTTGAGATAGGGTCTTATATAACCCAGGCTGACCTTAAACTCACTCTACAGCTAGGGATGGCCTTGAAGTCCTGATATTCCTACATCTACCTCCTATCTTCTATGCCACTGCCTGGCTACATACCTTTAATCCCAGCATTTTTGAGGCAGAGACAGGCAGATCTCTGAATCTGAGGCTAGCCTGGTCTATAGAGCTAGTTCCAGGACTTCTAGGGCTACATGAAGAAACCATGTCTCAAAAAAAATGAAAAAAAAATTGACTCTTATCTGGGTATAGTGTCTCCAGCTATAATCACTGCTCTTAAGGTTGAGGCAGGTGCTCTGTCTGTAGCCTGAGCTACAGAGTCTGATATTAGCCTAGGCTACAGAAGGAGACCCTAATTCAAAAACTAAAATTAAACTAAACCAAGACAACACTAACAAAAACAATTGGATCATATCAATGTCATGGCCTAGGTCTACTAAGGCTAAGAGGAGAAACTAGAAGAGGGGACAGCTGAGCTGCCCTGGAGCTGCAGTCTGCTTATGGGGCTCCTTGCACAGTTTGAAGAAGAAGAAATCCCTCAGTTGTCACTTGGGTCTTGGCTGAGACTTGGTGTGGACAGCTTGGGGAGAGGCCTTCCTGAGGTCCTGTGCTGGGCTTGAGAACAGAACTGTTTTAACAATAGAGAAAAGAGAACTTGGCACATGTAATTTATTGGCTTTTCAAAAGCCTATAGACCACAGTTTAAAAATATTCATAGTTATCAGATAGTTATCAGTCTTTTTTAATTTTTTTTTTTTTTTAGGCATCCATGAAACACCTTTTGAGGCAAAATGTCCATGATTTTAGTTGGGATTAAAAGTAGCATAAATCTTAGACAAAAGCAAAAGCAGTTGCGCAGGGGATTTGGGGGCATGTTCATTTGAGATAGGGCCCCTTTATGCTGTCCAGGCTGGAATTTAACCAAGGGCCTCATCCATGCTAGACAAGAGCTCTGCCACTCTGCTGCAATCGATAGCCCTGAATACTTAGAAATCTTGAAAACAAAGAGATCTCAGAAAACACAGTACCTCCCAAGAGGAGTGGGGACTGACAGGAGGAGCTGAGACACACAGCAGCACTCGCTGGCCCAGGGTGCCCTTTCCTCTCTCCTGGAAGGCATAGTGGCTGAAGGGTTGATTACAGGTTCTAGCTCTCAGACCTCCCCAGGAGCCATGCAGATGATAAATTATGAGCCGTGCAAACACACCTGGGGAAATGCCAGAGCCTGTTATTCACCCTGACTCTGAAGGAATTCCATTCAATTAAACACCTCATGAATGATAAAAATGCCATCCTAGGTATGAACACAAGGCGTTTGCTTTTCATTGCTCTGGGCATCTGTAGTTTTAATTTCCAGGCTGAGTTGCAGACCCCTGGTGGGTTCTTCCTGTGTCCACTCAGCACCTTAGGTCCCATTCACTTGGCCACCTGAGCCTAATCTGCCTGTGTTCCCCCACATCTATCTGTCTGTTGCCCTGTCATAGAAATCTATCTATCTGTAGTCCACTCCGGCTGCCATGACAGGGCTCACATTATCTTTCCCTACCTTATCCCTGGACTGAGTGTCTGTGTATCTGTGATGGAAGTTAGTACTCTTGACAGGTGACCTGAGTTCAATCCCTGGGACCTACATAGTAGGAGGAGAGAGCCAACTCCTAAAAAAGCTGTCCTTTGACCTCCTCAAGCATACTGTGGCATGCACACACCCATACACACACCCATACACACATACATACACACCCATATAGACATGCACGAATACACACCCCCACACATACACACACATATCCACACATACACACACACACATACACACATGCACATACACATACACACATACACACACATATACACATACCCCCCCCACACACACATGCACATACACACACACACATACACACACATACATATAAACATGCATGAATACATACCCACATACACATACATACACACATATATCACGCACATAGACACCCACATAAACATACACACACATACATATACACATACACACATATATATACACACATATATATATATATATACACATACACACATATACATACACATAAATACACACACGCACACACACACAAAACAAATATTAACTTTTTCCAGAAGGCTGGAGAGAAAGCCCAGAAGTTAAGAGTTCTTACTTACTGCTCTTGCAGAGAACCTGGATTCGGTTCTCAGCACCCTCCAGCTCTTGAGTTTGGATCCCCAGCACCCACATAAAAGTCATGTGCAGAGCTGTGTGCCAGTAACCCCACTGATGGGGAGAGAAGGGATGTGTGACTGCCAGAGCCCGCTGGCCAGCCAGTCTAGGTAAATTAGAGGACTCCAAGTTCTTGAAATAAAGTGGACAGTTCTAGGATTTGACACCCCTTTCTGGCTTCTGTGGACACATGTGGTCCATGGACACATACTCAGGTACACACATGCACATGACACAAATGAGTATTTTCGAAATTTCCCCAAAATATTAGTTGATAAGGAAGGACACACGGAATGGAGGCAAAGATACACGAGCCGTGAAGGACACTATGGCACTTTTAGTCTCTGGTTTCAGTTCTGTCATTATATATATGCATTCATGGGGTATAAGTGAACTCAAATTCCTTGCTATTGAAGTACCATTAAATAAATAAAAATAAATAAATGAGCAAAATAATTGATAATGAAAGTGTAAAAGCCCAAGTGAAGCTCCATGGCGTCTGACTGGCCAGACTAACTGTGTAGAAGTTCACTGAGATGGATAGAATCATGACTGGGGTGGTGTTTGAGTGGCTGCCTTAAACTAGCTGTGTGATGCTTGACTTGAGGGTTGATTAGAATAAAATGATTATATTCCTTTTTTTTTTTCAAAATGGAATCTTGGATACTTTTCATCTCACTAAGTGTAAACTGGGCCTGGACGTTTACCCTGTACTGATGGAACAAAATATTTGTATGCTACAACCAACTGGATCAACAAGCTTCGAGGCTCAGCCTCCCCCAAGTTGGCATGCTGTGTCTGCATTGGCATTCATGAATGCTGTCTTCAGCCAGAGGCTCACAGCAATGCCAGATAGCTGCTATTAGATCTTCACAGGGAACTGTGACAATCTTGATTACGTGTATGAGACTCAGTGTTGCTGGAGTTGTTAGGGTCAGAGCCTTGGCCCCAGCAGCCTTAACTACACTTGGCCACCTATCCTCGGTAGGACAATTAAACAGACAAGTAGTAGTGAAAAACAACCAGAAACGCCCCAGCACCCACATAAAAGCAGGGTGTGATGGTGTATGCCTGTAAGCCCAGCACTGGAGGCAGAGAGACAGGCAGGTCACCAGAGTCTGCTGGCCAGCTAGTCTAGCTGAACTAAGGAGCTCTGAGTTCTCAAAAACTAAGATGGAGGGACTGGAAAGATGGCTTCCTGTTTAAGAGCACTTTCTGCTCTTCCAGAAGATCTGGGTTCAATTCCCAGCACCCACATGATGGTTGACTCACAAATGTCTATAACTCCAGTTCCAGGGGATCCAGTGCTCTCTTCTGGCTTCTGTGGGTAGCAGACACACATGAGATGCAGAGACATACATGTAGACAAAACACACATTCACACAAAATAAACTAACATGGACAGCAGTAAAGACACTCAGTGTTGACCCATGGTTCCCATTCTGGCATGCAACATCTGCCACCGCCCCCCATGCACACACATTAACATATACACATGTAAAACACACACACACACACACACACACAAACAACAAAGAACTGTATGCAATCTCTTCCTGGGAGACAAACTCCTCCTCTGGCTGGCACCATGATTAGCCTTTTTCTATCCCCAGGATGAGATTCCTAGAAAAATTCCAATGCTTGATGTCCTTTGTCTCAGACTATGGGAGCCAACCGGTGGGAGTGGTCATTCCAAATGTCTTCAGAACACCTCCTCTCCTGCCAAGACAGTTCCATTCGGCTAGAGCTCAGCAATCTGGTGGCCAGCAGCTGCTGAGTGTTCCCAGTTCAATTTCCACATCAGCAGTTCTGTCACTGTGTGTTGTGACCATGGGGGACAAAAATCTTAATTACAGCCCTTCACTTCGAGACATACAATGTCAGTGCCAGTGAAACACTTGGCAGCTCTTTAATAACTGGCCAGTGCCCATTCTGCAGTCAACTGACTGGGAAGAAGGTGATGAACCCTACTTGGCATAGAAGGGAATGATACATAACAACACTCTTAAAGATGCAGTGGCCAGAGGAGCCCTGGAAGTCCACAGTGGAAAGCAGCCATCTGGCTTCCTGAAGTCGTCTTTTTCTTTCTCTCTATGAAGGGCATTTTTGTTGTCGTTGTTGTTCTTGCTCCTCTTGAGCCTCATGTAACCCAGGCTGGCCTTGAACTCAGTATGTAGCCAAGGATGACCTTGATCTTCTGACTCTCTGGCGTCTACCTCCTGAGTGCTGCTGCAATCACACTGAGTTTTTGTGGTGCTAGAGATTAGATAGATCCAAAGCTTTGTACTGTTGGTAAGCATTCCATCAGCTGAGAGTTAGCTCCAGCCAGAGGGTATGGTTTTTAGGGTGTGAGGCTTTCTGAGTTCCGGAAGCCATAGCCATTCATGTAATCTTTTGAACCCAGGAGCAACCAAAGGAAAAGCTTAAGAGAAGTAAACCCCTTTGTCTTTTGCCACCAGCATGAAGCACTTCCCCACAGGGGCCATTCAGTACTCTACTAGGTGACCTTTCTCCTGTTTTCATAGTCCTAAAAATGACAATTATTTTAAACTTTTTTTCTTTTATTAAGAAAAATATTCAGCCAGGTGGTGGTGGCAGCGCACGCCTTTAGTCTCAGCATTTGGGAGGCAGAAGCAGGCGGATCTCTGTGAGTTTGAGGCCAGCCTGATCTACAGAGTGAATTCCAGGACAGTCAGAGCTACAAAATGGAGAGATATTGTCTCAAAAGAAATAGAAAAAGAAAAGGAAAGGGAAGGGAAGGAAAGGGAAGGGAAGGGAAGGGAAGGGAAGGGAAGGGAAGGGAAGGGAAAACTCAGTGAGGGAGAGATGGCTCAGAGGTTGAGAGCACTGGCTGCTCCTACAGAGGACCTGGGTTCAGTTCCCAGCACCCACACTCATAACCATCTGTAATTCCAGTTTCAGGGGAGCCAGCCACTGCTCACATGTGGTGCTCACACATACATGCAGGAAAACCAATCATAGACATATAATAGAAATAAAGTATAGAAGGAAGATCATATAAACCAAAACTCTAGTAATTTTCACAAGATAAACTCCTTAGTGTCATAAAATTTCTAGTTAAAATACAATTCTCCCTATTGTCTCATGTGTTTTTAACACTTTGTTTGAATTGGAGCCCAGATCAGCTCCATGTTTCTCACTGGTTGTCCTGTCTCTTATGAATTGCGAAGTGTCACTTGGGTCCTCCTTCTGAGATTCTTTGGTTGATTCTTCAAGAAAAATTCAGGGCCGGCTCTCTGAGCTCACACATTTTGGAGGCAATCTGTTAGAGGTCAGTTTGATTGGATGTAAACTTGCCTATCTCACCTTTAGCTCCCTTGACTCTCTTTGATCCTATGCATCTGATTACAGTTTTATGCTAAGGACCAAGCCCAGATCCTGATGCATGTTAGGCAAGCAGTTTTGCCAACTAGGCTACACCTCTAGCCAGGACACTTCATATAGAAAACCTTAGTTCCCGGGGATGTCTGGACAAGAGTCTCCAAAAGTTTTCAGCCAAAATGTTGGGGAGAACCCAACACAAAGAAAACAAGTACAAATAAGATATGGTTGCTCACATAAAAATGCCATCCAGAGGGTTAGAGAGTTGCCTCAGCAGTTAAAAGCACTTTGCTACTCTTGCGGAGAACCTGGGTTTGATCCCCAGAATGCCAGACTGTTTACAGTCATCTGGGGAATCTTCTACCCTCTTCTGGCCTCCTTGGGAACTGCATGCATGGGATGCATATACACATACATACAGGCAAAGCACTCAAACACATAAGATAAGAAAATGAATGTAAAAAAAAAAAAAAAAAAAAACAAGTTGAATGCCACCAACACAGAGCTGAGGAGGTAGGAGGTTCTGCTTTTGGTCATGATGGAAAAATAACAGGAAAGGAAATTTTGGAGGCACGAAGGTGCTAAAGGCAAATGGAGAAACTTGTTTCATGTAAGTATGAGGGGGGCCAAAGGATTCCTGTTAAATCCCATGCAAGCTGGTATACAAAAATAAAAAGCTAAAAAAAAGAGAGAAAAAAGTTTCCATGGACAACAAAGAATTGCCAGAAAGACATCATACCCTTAAAACCAAAGGAAACCATAAGCCAATATTTCAAAACAAGCCAATAGAAGTTTGTAAAATATAAAGACTGACTACAAAAACAACATCTAGGCTTGAGAGACGGCTCAGTCGGGAAAGGCTCTTGCCTCTAAGCCTGATGACCTGAATTCAAGCCCTGGAACCCACAGGGTAGATGGAAAGAATGGGCTCTTGAAAGTTATTCTCTAACCTCCCCACTCATGACATTCGTGCGTTCTCCCCCTCCAAGAAATAAATTAAAATAAAAAATGCAAAAGAAAAGTTAAAAAAAATGAGAAAACCTTAGAAATAAAGTCACCAGCATAGTGGGAAATTTGAAACAAAATGCAGAAGCCAGGAATGAAGTAGAATGAGAAAGGAAAAAAAAGTAGGGGGCCGGGGGTTGAGAATGTAGCTTATATGGTAGCACATGCTTTCCTAATGTGCATGAGGCCCTGAGTTCAATGCCCAGCACCACATAAATCAGGCATGATGGTTCATGCCTATAATCCTAGAACTCAACATGAGGAGACAGGAACTCAGAGATCAAGGTTATCCTCAGCTATGTATCAAGTTCAAGGCCAGCTTCTGCTACTTGAGAACCTGTCTCACATACATGTGAGTACGTGCAGACATAAGTTTTGTTTTGTTTTTGTTTTTGTTTTTGAGACAGGGTTTCTCTGTGGCTTTGGAGGCTGTCCTGTTACTAGCTCTTGTAGACCAGGCTGTCTCGAACTCACAGAGATCTGCCTGCCACTGCCTCCCGAGTGCTGGGATTAAAGGCGTGTGCCACCAACGCCCGGCGCAGACATAAGTATTTTTTAAAAGGGAGTAAATTAGAGTATCCATATGACAACTCACTTTCACTGAAGAATAGTACGATTGTGCTCAGGCCTTGGCTTGCCAGCCTTTCTTACCATCGCTGCCATTGCCCTCTCCACAGTTCTAAAGTCATAACTAAATGCCACAGCCTGGGACACAGTTGACTGTATGACAACTATCCTTCCATTGGGACATAGCATTTGCCAGTCTGGGCATCAGGCCATTGAATATCTCTGACTGCTCATCAAGATAAGAAATGCAGAACGTCTGTCTGGAGCCTGTAAGGAAATGAATACGCTGGGGCACCTGGTCACATCTTTATCAAGCTGTTGTTAACCTAGCCCCTTCTGATGGGTTCAGGTGCAAGGGCAGCTCAGTGGCTTCTACTGGAATCTCCCAGGACAGATAATGGCTGTGGGTGTGCTGACACCAAACTGAGGGATATAAACACTCACACTTTCTGGCTCCCTCCCCATACCTTCACGGTTTATTGATCTGTCCACTTCCGGGGGGGGGCAGTAAGCAAAGATAGAGTTGGACCTTGAGAGACCTTGGAATACTGACGGAGAGAGGGTCACGTTTGTGTGTGGTATGATCTCAGGCACATTCCTGGCAACGAATCATCCGAAAACAGGCTGACTGGGGAAGCATGTCACCAGCCTGAGATTACAGGGAAATGGAAATAGTGTCTTCCCTATGGATAAACAGTGTTTGGACAGACCAAGGCTTGAGGAAGCCAAAGTCCCTTCCAGCTGACCCAGAATGAAGCTGCACTTCTCACCGGATGAGCCCCTGTTTCTTCCTCCTGGGAGACACACAGAAATGCCTTTTTAATTTCTTGGAATTTAGCTCCTGTTTGAAAGATGATCCAGGGATGGAGATGCGGCTCAGCTAGTAGAATAAGGCTAGCATGCACGAAGCTCTAGGTTCCATGCACAGCATGGAATAAAAATGGGCATAGTGATACACACCTGTTAATCCAAGCACCCGGGAGGCAGAAGCGGGAAGATCCTGAGTTCAGTTTCATCCTTGGCTACAAAGAGAGGAAGTTCAAGGCCTGGGATCTACCTTGGAGCAGAGTTGAAGAGTTGAAGGGCCTCACTCATAAGCAGATGCCAACACCTGGCTACAGCTGTGCACACTACACCCTTGAGTGTGGGCGGTGCTCTGCCAGTTCCTGCACACAGAGCCCCATGTGGGCACAGTGTGAGGCAGGTACTGCAGAAGCAATGGCCTGCATTTCAGCTCATCAGTTGCCTTGCAGTTCCCACAGGTAGAGAGAATGAAGGATAAGGTGGGAGGGTAGATCTCCAGGAGATTGAGGCAGGAGGATTACAAACCAGGAGCAAGCCAGACAGGAAGCTGGAGTGGCCCTACAATGTAAGGGAAAACCCATAGTTAGCTTTTGCTTGATTTGGCACAAGAATCCATATAACCTTGTGTTGACACCCTTTCCTAGACATCAGTGAATGCTCCAGCCAGCCTTGTCACAATGGGGGAACGTGTGTGGAAGGAGTCAACCAGTACAGATGCATCTGCCCTCCAGGAAAAACTGGGAACCGTTGTCAAAACCAGACCCAGCCTGGTATGTAGCCAGGGGACTTGCTGGGGATGCTGTCCTGGGGGCTAGCATGGATACTGGTCACGGTCACCAAAGGCGAATGTGTCAGGCACTCCATCCATTGGCTGATGCTGCTAGTACCCTAACGGTACTCATTTGGATGGGCTTAACTCTTTTTATATCCAGAGTTTTGATCCTTCTTTTGGAGAGATAGCCTCCAACCTAACAGCATGCAGATGAGGGACGAGGCCTGGGAAGATACACTGGGGCACCTTTGCCTGGTTAGGGTTTTGTCCTCTAGCAGAATCACTTTTCCTTCCGATATCACAGCCTGCAAAGTCAGCAGGCCAAGGATGCTAGACATTTGATTCCTGAGTTCCAGCACATAGCAAGAAAACCTCCTGATAAGGAATCTATGAAGGATGGGTGAGGGGTTTCACACCATTCTACAATTGAGAGGTATAACCAAATGATGTCCTACTCCTTTGCCAGACAGGCCTGCCTGTCTTTATTTCTGTGTAGACTCCCTGTGGGGAAAGGGCATTTGGGTGAACAGTATAAGGTCCAGGGAGTAAGAGTTGACAAACTCTTGGGAGTGAAGATGCAGCTCACTTTGAAGGATGCTTGCCTCTCATGCAGGAAGCCAAGCATTTGATCACTAGCATCACATAATGCTGGGCAAGATGGTGAGCATCTGTAATCCCAGCACCAATGAAGAAGCAGCAGGAGGGCCAGATGTCTAAGGCTATCTTTGGCTTCATAGCAGAGTCCAAGTCCAGCCTGGAATAAAATAAGACAAAACAACTTCATGCCCTCTGTAGCAGCCAGCTCCTAGTCAGGGTTAGACAGTACACCCACAAGCTTGACAAGTCAGTGGGACTAGCCTGCCAGGTCCATTCTCACAGTGAAGCTGTCCCCAGAGCCCCACCCCAGCCCTGTAGCTCTTATGTCTTGAACCTTCTGTTGAAACAGTGGAGAGGCAGGGCTCTCTTGGAAGGTCACTGACTGTGTCTACAAAGAAGAGCAGAAAAAAGCCTATTTCCTTTCACTCTGGTGATGCCATACTAGCCACTAAATGCCCCCCTTTAGGGCATCTTCTGCTGTGGGACCTTCCGGTCATCAAACCTCAGGCCCAGGGGTCATTTTATGAAGTGTCCCCATGACTGGATTCTTCTCCAGGAATGGAAAGTAAGGAGTGAGCAGGTACACACTATGAAATGACCCAGCAGGTGTACCTGGAACCTTCTTGGACTATGCCTCTCTCCCAGGACCCTGTAAACCTCACCCCAAAATTTTTCTAATTTTTAACTTGTGGCTGTGTGTGCATGTATGTGTGTGTTTATATGTGTGTGGATGTGTACACTTGAGTGCAGTACCAGTGGAGACCAGAAAAGGGCTTCTGAGCTCCTGGAAGTGAAGTTTCCAGGCAGTTTGTGAGCCTCCCGATGTTGGTGCTGAGAATCAAACTTGAGTCTTCTGGAGCAATAGTTTTGGCTCTAAACCACTAAGCCATCTCTCCAGTTCCTAATATTACCATTTTGAGACCGAGTCTGGCTCTGCTTCTCTGGCTGACTTGAACTGGATTCAGGTGATGCTGCCTAAATCTTAAAAAAATTTCAAGAATTTTTTTTTAAATACTTTTACCAGCCGGGTGATGGTGGTGCACACCTTTAATCCCAGCACTCAGAAGGCAGAAGCAGGTGAATCTTTGTGAGTTCAAGGCCAACCTGGTCTACAGAGCCAGTTGCAGGACAGTTTCACAGAGAAACCCTGTCTGGAAAAACAAAAAACAAAAACAGACAAACAAAAATCCCTTTGCCAGAGCTGGTGAGAAGGTCAGAGGTTAAGAGCAGGTACTGTTCTTACACAGGTCAGGGGTTCCCAGCACCCACATGGTGCCCCACAGCCACCTTTAACTCTCCAGTTCCAGACAGATCAAGGAACCCTCTTCTGGCCTCCACAGGCATCAGACACCACAGATTGTACACAGACACTTACACATAAAATAAAATCTTTTTAAAGTATCCTTTCATCCCAGCACTCAGGAGGCACGGGCAGGAGTTAAAGGCCATCGTGGTCTACACAGTAAGTTCCAAAGCCAGACAGAGCTACATAGTGAACCCATGGTTTTGCCTGTTTTGTTTTTATTCTGTTTACCTTATTTTTATTGTGGTTAGAAAACTTTCTGTTCTTGGAAAAACACAAAAACTGTAATGATAAAACAACTACCCTGAACACATTGACGAGGCTGCAAGCTTGTGTACACATGTGTACACACACACACACACACACACACACACACACACACACACACACGGAACAGAAAAAGTGGAGGCTTAAAATTTTACATTTCAGCGCCCCCAGAATTGTGCGCGTTGTACAAAATTCTCAAAATGAATCTCGGAGTTCACACTGAAGTATGCCTGGCTGTCCCGTTATTACATTCAGCTCTCTCAGTCCTGTCCAGGTCGCAGTCTCTCAGTTTAGGTTAATCGCTTGTCATTCCTTCCCTGCGGTAGAGTACTCACTGAAAGATAGGGTCTCGCTAGTCCTGGGGCGCACTGCAGGTGCCGGGGTAGGGATTTGGGGAGGGTCAGGAGCTGAGCTTATCTTTTTCCCCCCCGCAGCGGCCCCCGGGGGGGGCGT